GTCAGTCTGCCCCAGGGCAGCTGTGGCTACAACTGTAGCTGCCTCCACCAGTGTGTGAATGTGAGAGTGAATGAATAGTGGCATTGTAAAGCGCTTTGGGTACCTTGAAAAGCGCTATATAAATCTAATCCATTATTATTATTATTACTCATTGAGCAGTATGTTAAAAATGAGGGTGTGACATGGAACTTCAGGTGTTTTATTAAAAGAGCAGTGACATCAGCGCACACAAGGATCACCTGTGTCTTGAATGGGTGGGCAGGGATGCCAAAGAGTCTGCCCATGTAGAGTTAACCCAACCGTTTTATACAATGCAAAGCAGGTACAAGCTAGTCGATCCCGTCAGGTCAGTAGCTGAGCTTTGCTGTACGTGTTCTCTGAGGTGTTATTCCCTTGTTAGGCATTCTATGTATTATCACTATGAGGGGAGCGTGGACAAAGCGGCCATTCTTTTTACTGGGGACCATAGTGGGCCTCTTGTTTTTAGGCATGTTTCTGAAGAACAGATGCCAACCTGGTGTGGATACCCATAAAGATTTGGACACACCGCGTATGATCAAAAGTTTAACCAACCTGGAGGCAAGCATCAGCAATCTAAGTGAGTTCTGTCACATATTAATATTAATTATGATTTCATGGTACCTATATTACTTGCACCACAAATAAAAAAGAGATCCAGTAGTAAAAGGAGTTGAAATCTTAAAAATAAGTTGAGAGGCAGTAAAGGGTATTGGCTACACATGTACTGAAGATGTGACAAGTTTTTAGAATATTTATTAACCCCTTAGCAGTCCTATTAGTCCCCTAAACCATCCAATGTCCCGTGGGCGGTACGTCCGACTGCTAACAGTTTAATAAAAAGAAAGAAAAAATACAAAAGGCAGTCATGGAACAAGAGTATGTACAGTTATTAAAATAAATAAATAAATGGCTTTTAACTGAACTTTTGTTATTAACGACAGATGAGGTCAAATTATAACAGGTGTTTGTACCTTTACTATAAATGTGTTTTATGTTGTAATTTTCACATTATTTTGTGCAGTGTTTGTTTTGTTTAGTAGGAATATTAACTATTCCATTTCCTTGATCATGTTTTTGCTGATGTTGTTTTCTACCGAAGACGATGCACTCAGACGTTTTGAGAAAAAGCAGGAGGTCATGCAGAAGATGCTAGAAGAAGACAGCCACAGACACAGAAAATCAGTAGAGGTCCAACAGCAAGCAGAGAAGCAAAAGGAATGTGATCCAAATATCCAAGCCCAAACCAAGGAGACCCAAATGAAAAAGCCTAAGAAACTGTTCCCTAAGTCATACTTGTTCAAGACATGGGGGGAAGATCTCTCTGAGGATGACCAAAGAGAGGCTCAGAGCCTGTATGAGAAGTATGGGTACAATGTTTATCTGAGCGATCGCCTCCCTCTGGATCGACCTCTTCCAGATACCAGAGATCCTCGGTACAACTTTCATTTTTCATGATTTTAATCTTTCATTCTCTCTCGTGTACGTGCAAAGAAAAGAAAATCCAAATAACTACGTCCACCCAGATTATCGCTTGCTAAATATTTCATATTTCTGAACAAATACAGTGGCATTTCATATAATCCTTTTTAATAAATAGGTGTCTGAAAAAGAGTTACCCCAAGGACCTGCCGAGTCTCAGTGTGGTGCTCATCTACCTGGATGAAGCCCTGTCTGTTCTCCAAAGAGCCCTGCGCAGCATCATCGACCGCACTCCTAAAAACCTGCTGAAGGAGATAATAATGGTGGACGACCATAGTTCTAATGGTAAATTGGTTATTTTAAAAAACAACTCTAATTATTGGCCATGCAAATTACTGCCAATGAGTGCAGACTGACAATGTACCTGTTGTCTTATGTACACGCCTCTCACATTCCTTTCCTGTATATGTCTACCAGTTCAAATTAATCATTGGAAGCTAAATAAAGATTATTTGTTAGATGTACAAAACACTTGTAATCATTCACAAGCATGTCATGCATGTTTGTAGTCAAACCAGTTTTTCGTGCTTGGTTGAAGCTTCCGAAGCCTCTCCCAACTTTCATACAGCTAAAGACAGTTTACACCCTGAACATGTCGCCTGTCTGTTGCAGGGCAGAGATAGAAATCACTGACTATAGTATGACTGACCCAGCCGAAAATTCAGGGAAAAGCAAAACTAAAAACAAACTAAAAACAAAAAAACAACGAATAATTTTCTCTTTTCCATTCAGAAAATCTGAAGGGTGACCTTGACGTTTATGTGAGGTTGCTTGAGCAGGAGAACCCTAATCTCCGTATTGTGAGAGTGAGGCACAGTGAGCAGAGAGGTCTCGCTCATGCCAGAGCATCCGGGTGGAGGGCTGCTACTGCTGACGTGGTGGCCATCCTGGACGCACACATTGAAGTCCATGAGATGTGGTAGGAACATGGCAGAAATATATGCTTTCATTCACTTGTTTAGGTGTTTTATTTTCTGTTAATAGGATATTTCTAATAGTTTATTTAATTATATTACAACATTGCAGTATAGAACACATTTATATATGATATTTATGACATAAATATCTTTACCAATCACAAACTTCTACCACTGACTTGAGGCCATCCCATACGGAAAAGAAATAGAAAAAAACTTATAAAAGACTTGCTAATGAAAGTGGCTACTTTCATATATTGTTTTAGTAAGTATCCAAAACATACAAGTTTCATTTATATAATTTTTCATGGGATCTTATATCTGTTTTCACTAGGGATGGGTATCGTTTAGGTTTTATCCGATACCGGTGCCAAATCGGTACTTTTGAAACGGTGCCGGTGCTTAAACGGTGCTCAAACCGGTGCTTAAAGAATGGAAAACACAAACTTTGTCCAAAAACCTCTCATGTTCAGCTGTTTTTT